CTTTTTTCACTTTATTCAAATCAGATCAATGACTGACACACGCGTGCATAGACTGCATCAGTTTTCATTTTAGGACAGCCGTTGTTTAACCTAGAGATTATTTGTATTTTGCATACTCTCTAATGTAAGAGATCCAGTCAGGAAGTCTGTAAGTGAAATATAAGACAGTCATGCTAGTATTATTTTGCACAGAGATCGTATGAGGGCCCAGAGGAGCTGGTAGAAAAGCTGAAGTCCCTCACAACAGACTCGCTCACTCCTGAAGGTATGCTGATTTATTCAGTCATGTTTTATTTACACCAGCAAGCGTTCAACACCGATTTATCATTGTGACATCAGATATATACTGTATATAATTTCACTTAAGACCACTTGTACATCAAATATATGCCATATTTTCTACAATATCTAATGCATTTACAACCTGTTACAGTTTAGATATATGCATCTTGGTGTTTATAACAAATGTTGTTGTTGTACAAACAATGTATGTTGTTTGTTTTATACTCATATTTGTCATTCCTTTTCTATTCTGAATACCATTACATTGAAAGAATTTATTGTGTAGTGAGGGGAACTAATATGCATAATGTTATTTACCAATATTTTACATTATCCCTTAGTTTTTCAAAAGCGTTAGTCGTAGTAATTAGATAAACTTCTATAGTGGTGAACGGAAACTACAACAAATATCATCTTTGTGTACACATTTGCTCCAGTATCAAAATAAAAAATCGACAATAGTGTTTTTATGACTTTTTAACAATATGGAGAGATTGATTACGTTGGTCAGAAGAGATAAAAATGTCGAATTTGCCGTCACTTCCTCGGCCGTTGTATTAGAAAGACAAGTTTTCTGTAATTTAATGCCAAGGTAATAAAACATAAGTATAGTGTTATAAATGTTAGGGCTGTACAATAATGGTTAAACGGTTAATCACAATTATTTTGTTCAAAAACATGATCGCAATTATTAATAACAATTATTGTCATTTTATTTTATTTGTTTTGTATCTCAGTTGAGATCGCTGAACTGCAGCTTACATGTTTGCCGATGTTTTCAAAGCATCGGCACTTTTTCTGTAACGTAGACCGAGTGAGTGCACATGGTTGCCAGGTTGGGAATATTAAGTAAACCTCTGGGATCTGATTGGGGGATTTAAACTATTGACATCTGGCAACCACAGCCATGAAAGCTTATCCAAATTAAAACGTTTTCTGGATAAATAACCAGCGGGGAAATATCGCAGACGATTGTGCTTAATAAATCAAGAGTTCAAGCATTTTCAAATCGTGACCACGATTGAAATACCTTTCGTCGTGCAGCCCTTCTAAAACGTACATTAAAGTTTGTAAAAATGAAAATATAAAAATATTGAAACAAACTTTAACAATGTTAATAACTGTGGAACCGCGTCATCACATTCACATTTCTGAATGCTATAATAAAATTTGACTTTGTTCATGTGACCACGCGATAACACCGAGTGAATTCAAATAAGTTGTTTCCTAGTCTGTAAAAATGTTTTTTTGCTACAGTGTTGATTGTAGACGAAGCACATCCAGCTACAAGGAAACATTCTCACAACTTTCACTAATGCTTTTTTTTTAAGTTATATAAATGTTAGGACAAAGCATTCTTAAAGTAACGTTTATATAATGTTCTTATAAATGTATCAGTATTTGAGATGCGTTCTCAAAACATTGAGAGAACTTTCTTAGAACGACATTCTCGTCCTTGCGATGTTATTTGTACTTGATGAACGTTCTAATAAATGTTTTTGTAACCTTTAAATAACGCTCTGATCACAACAAGAAAACTAGACACTTATCACAGTCTTAGAGTAAATGTTCAAATAACGTCATATTTTGCATTAAAAGTTAGCACAATGCTGTAAGAAACGTATTTGTAACCTTTAAACAACATTCTAATCGCATCAAGAAAACTGGACATTTCAGTATTTCAGAAACATTTCAAAACATTTCATTTTTATAACCTAACTTTGTTACCTGGGATCAGATGCTTGTAAATGTAATGCTGTTCTTCTTGTGTCTGCAGACCCTTCGCCGTTTTCCAGAGACTCTCCAGGGCCCTTGAGGAGCTCAGACATCGGTCCGGTGGAGGCCAGCATTGAAGACCTCAGCTTCAGGACCCCCGAAGAGTCTCTGCTGGAGGTGGACGCCGCGCCTCCCAGCTCTCCCAATCTGGAGCTCAAACTGGCACAAGAGTACAACTACCACAAATACGGCAGTCGGATAGTGGATCAGCCGGACGCCAGCCTTTATAACCCGCTCCCGCAGCAGCCAAGCAGCCAGCGGTGGGCCGGAGAGGCTTCTTCTGTCAAGTCTTGGACTAAACCCGCCGCTTACCCAAACCCAAACCCAGAAACCCAGAGCCATCCGAGACCTGCAAGCTCGTTTGAGGGTTTGCACAGGCCAGACCTGGCGAGTCAGCTCTCGGTGCCGTATTCTGACTACGACCGACTTCAACATCCACTGTACAATCGCATCAAGTCCTGTCCTGATGGTGCATCTCCTGCAGCCGAGTCGTTCATGCTGGATTCACAGCCTGGCCTGCGTTTCTCGCCCGTCGTGTGTCCTCCGTCTGACTCGGGTACAGTTCACAATTCACAACTAACAAGTCATTTCTGTAGCACTTTATGCAATACTGATTGTGTCAAAGCAGCTTCACAGAGATAAATAGGAAATAGCAGAGACAATATGTGTCCCTGCAGCACAAAAGCAGTGTTGAGTCGCTGGGGTATATCTGTAGCAATAGCCAACAATACATTGTCTGGGTCACAATTATACATTTCTCTTTTATGCCAAAAATCATTAGGATATTAAGTAAAGATCATGTTCCATGAAGATATTTTGTAAATGTCCTACCGTAAATATATCAAAACTGAATGTTTGATTAGTAATATGCATTGCTAAGAACTTCATTTGAACAACTTTAAAGATGATTTTCTCAATATTTAGATTTTTTTGCACCCTCAGATTCCAGATTTTCAAATATTGTCCGATCCTAACAAACCATACATCAATGGAAAGCGTATTTATTCAGGTTTCAGATGATGCATACATCTCAATTTCAAAAAATGTACCCTTATGACTGGGTTTGTGCTCCAGGGTCACATATTGTCATTATTCAGCTCAAGTTAGTTCAGTGTTGGTTCTGTTCAGAAAGGGCATAATCACAATTTCACCTTCTCTCTATTTATTAAGAATAATCCTCTTGCTTGCTGGTTATTTATCCTGAAAACATTTCATGTTAATTTGGCATTTGCATTGGTAACAGGCCTCTACAAGCGTTCATGGTTGCGGTTGCCAGATTTCAAGAGTTTAAACCCCCCAATAAGAGCTGTTTTCATAAATGGAACTGTTTGAATTTTTTTTATGGTTTTAGTTTTAGTTAAAGGCAGGGAAGGTGATTTGGTTCAAAAAAAATTTTTGTTATGCTGGTTGAAAGTCTGTTCACATCCCGATAGCAATCACTAAGTTAAGTGCACTAAATGTATTTATATCGTCTGTGGAAGGTGTAGGACCATAAAATGTTCGTCCAATCACATTCCTCGGCCCGAGGATTATGATAGGCTGTCCTACCTGCCTGTCCACGTATGTATTTGCATACCTCCTCGCACCCTGTTAATCTGACAGTGTTGACTCCGTCTGTCATCGTGTCGCTGGTAAGCCTCTGCTCTGCCTGTGTTTTGGAGGAGGCGTGGCTTTGGAGAGTGATTATACAGGAAGGGTGGGATCTTATGCTTTCGAAATCATCTACCCTACCTTTAACAACAGTCTGAGCCAAGAAATGTTATTTTGGGGCGGGGGTGGATTTTGGGTAGTTATATGAAAGTTTATAAAACGGAGCGTTCCGGTGCTTGGCTCTGATTGGCTGAGCCGCGTTCGAAGCTGTTGTAAATGACGCTACAAAGTAACACACACCTTTGTTTACGTTTGTGTGTTGCTCGGCAACCACTTTGTAGCAACCACAACTGTTTCTGAGGAGCTACATTGTTTGGTGGAAGAATACTGTTTTTATTAATATCATTACACTTTATTTGCTCGGTTTTATTCTGTGAAACCTTACTACGTATATGGAATAACCATTTTATAAAAGCAATAAACCCTGTGTAGCCGTGGTTTACAGTGAATTTATAACAGCTAAGAGGGTTTTAGGCACTCCGCTTCGTGTCGTAACAACGCCCCTTAGCTGTTATATGATATATTAACCCCTTAATATATCATATATATATATAATTTTCTCCTGATTTGTTTGGTTTTCCATTAGGGTGGCCTGTGGCCATCTCAAATGCCAGTGCAATTCAAATCGGGAGTTACAACACGATGAATTTGCGAGTCTCTGATAACAGCTCCTTGAGCTCGTTATCCGCTGGATCCATCAACAGAACCAGATATAATGAGCTTCTAATGACGTACGGTAAGACTCACTCTGTTTCAGACCTAGTGAGCTGCTATCTAATTAAGTATGCGCTAATTTGCATACATTTTCAGAACAAAAATCTGAACACTGAATTAAGTAACTTGTTAACTTGTTTGATTTTTTTGACATATTAAAGGTCTTCACAGAGGGCATTTTGGATTTCTCTTATTTATCATTCCATTAATATGATATACTGTTAGTAATTATATTAATATAGTATTAATATACTGTCAACCGCCCGAAAAAAAATCACAATGCTTTAGGAAATTTTTTTTAATTATATATGCAAAATACAAAATACAAATTTCCTTCAGAAGATAAGAATAAAAATGTAAAGTTTGGTGTATGTAAGTGCTGCTGAAGTGGAGACTGTGACTACAGATGCAAATAGATCAAGTGCAATTAAAGCAACACCTAAAAGTGTATTTGGGTGTTTTTTACACTAGTTTGTAACAACACATAAAAAAAAGCCAAACAGCCCAAAATCGACCAATGCATGCTTTTAGCCTTAACAAAGCCCTTGTTTTATAGTAATCCTGGTCAAATGATTAAACTCTCATTGCTTCATATGTGCCAGATCTGATTGATTTTCTCTGTTTGATTGTGTTGTGATGATCAGAGGAGTATACGGTCACTGAGAACCACCTGGAGGTCGTGCGTCACAACGTGGGTGGAAACTGGAAGCAGGTGGCTCGTAAACTGGGGCTGACAGACATAGACGTGGACACGGTCGAGCATGACTACGACCGCGACGGTTTGGCAGAGAAGGTGCACCAGATGCTGGAGCGCTGGAAGATGAAGGAGGGTCTGCAGGGCATCACCGTGGGTAAACTGTGCCATGCGCTGGAGGGCTGCATCAAACCCAACGTACTGCTGCAGCTGCTGCTGAAGTGTCAAGACGCCGCTGGAGTGCCTTGAAACGCCACCTTGTGCTTGTGTCATAATCCCATTAGTGTCGTCTTCACTGGAGGGAATCAGATTGGGTAAAGGGGCATTTATACAACTCTAACAACCTTCATCAAACAGTGAAACATTACAAAGACGTACAGTATTTCTGACTTCCTATCAGGCTGTGTTCATGGTGTTGGATGCTACGGCATAATGATTACAATTTTGTGAGCTATTCATAGCACAAAAGTTATCTTCTGCCATGTGATCTGAGTTCATCATTGATTCGTACAAAGTGCCTTTTTCCTGAACCTGATCAGTTGAATCAGTCTTTATATTTCAGAATCACTTGTCATGATTGTAAGATGCTTTATGATTTTTTTTTCTGTTTAGAGATTTCTTTAAAATGAAATACTGGAATATAGATCAGTGACAGGAGTTTGCATGTTCTCCCTATGTAAGTGTGGGTTTCCTCCGGGTGCTCCGGCTTCCCCACAGTCCAGACACATGCAGGTTAGGTGGCCTGGATAAATGTGTATATGTGGTGTGTGTGTGTGTGTGTGTGTGTGTGTGTGTGAGAGAGAGAGAGAGAGAGAGAGAGAGAGAGAGAGAGAGAGAGTATGTCTCAGTGCTGGGTTGCATCAGGAAAGGCATCCAATGATGATGATCAGAAAGATATAATAGTGACAAATCAAAAGAAAAAACAACATAAAGTGTATTTTATGGTGTTGGGCCATCATTTGCCAGCAAAACAGCTTCAATGCACTTTGGCATTGACTCTAATTTCTTAAAATTAAAGGTTCTTTATTAGTAATGATGGATTGCTTTATTGACATATACACGGATGTTTAAGAACCTTAAACATTCATAGAATATTACCAGTGCGCAAAAGGTGCTTTATAGTGAACGTAAGGTTCTTCAGATGATTAAAAAAAGTAAAGGTTCTCTTAAGAACTGATCGCTTAAAGGTTCTTTGAGGAATCCAGAACGGTTCTTCTATGGCATTACTGTATGTACCCATGCGTTTCATCAATGCTGGTTCATCGATCAGCTTTATATTGGTTTGCAGGGACCCAAACCATGTCAGCAGAATGCTTGTCAATGCATAACAGCCACAGGATGCCCTGGATTTTCTTTTCATTTGTCACCCGTCTGTATTTCAAAAATGTTTTTTATCATCTCAATCCGGCTTTTTTATTAAAATGTCTTTTTTCTGAGATGAAATCATCTTCTCTCATTTGTCTGTATATAATATATAATTCTACATAGGAAGTGGCCTTCTTTATAGCTAGAGGTCAGTAGAGAGTATATGAACAGCGTCTAACACTCAGTGCCCTAAATCAGCACTTTGTTAACAGTTAACACCATGACCTTCAAGCAGCAACCACAGTATTTGGTTTTACAATGACTATTAGAAGCCAGAGTGAAAGTCTAGTGGTTTATATTTTTCAGAAACCTGAAAGAAGTCACATACAGCATATATTGCACTTTCATGTGTGTGTGTGTGTGTG